CACAGCAGAATTAGATTTGTAGGTAAAAATAAAATAATCCTCCTTTACAGTAAAATAAAGCTCTGCTGATCGTTCAACACAGTTTAACACTAAATGGTCTTAAACGCTGGAGTTAATGTAGAACTGCTAATTCACCCTTTAACCCTGAAGGTTGGTGCTCAGGCTGCTGGTCACTATAGCAACACAGACAACCATCTCACATAGCTAGCAAAGGAAACACTTACGATGAACATTGATAATTTGGAGACGAATAGACTTATTTGCATTTATAATCACTCCAGCTGGTTTCCTGATACGTTTATTCTGCAACGAGAAACTGTCAAACACTAAAAAGTCATGAAGCTGAAGTCGGTTTTTCGTGGATTTTCCCGTTCCACCTTAAATGGTGCAGTAGTTGCATTCTGGTGCCTCAGGCACATTTTAAGGTGGAACAGGAAAATTCAAACAAGAAGCTGGCGAATGAGCCATCAGCCTCGTAAAAGTCGAACGTCGAGAGACATTTTACAAGAAACTTTTCTACTTTTGTTTCCTACAGAGATGCGAGAAAAGTGACTACAGCTGAGCTAAAGCTTAAAGCATCTTAACATCTGGATTGCCGACCCCTAGTTTAGACTAAGATCTTTTTTGATTGAGTGACCCTATACCTTAATTACATTACATGACAATGATACAGTCTCACTTTCTGCTCTAAAATGCAGGGGCATGGCGAAAATAAGGCTTCGTCTTATGTAAGGGTGCAAAAGCTTTTGTGGTCAGTTTTGTGAGTCATGAAGTTGCGAAAGGTTGGGAACCCCTGCTCTTTAGAATATCATTTTAATTAAAATACTACAAGTTAATTAAAAAATGCTTTTAAATAATTGTTTCATAGCAAGCTGCATTAAAATGCTGATCCCACCACAATCTGGCAACCCTGATTTTGCTCTGAATAGCCATGAACCTTAAAAATGAATACAACGCTTCTCAGTGAATGGGGGACTGATAAGAGTTTTTATCTGAATAATTGTCCTACTACTCTGGACAGCTAGCCACCCAGCATGCTCTTGTTTACTCTTGGTAATAAACGCAAATGATATTTGTTTTACTGCTTTTCTATGGCATCAGTACTACAGAGTCAAAGTTGGTTCCAAAGAAAACTCTTAAAATCTAGGATTTTACAAATAATTTTAAAAGTAAGTGATTAGAAACGCTGCTTTACGCATCTCTTTAACTTTTTAACATTTAACATTCAATTCTTCTGATTCTAAATAAATAATAATGATTTCTTGTATAACTATGTTTTATCACCTGTCTATAAAGCACTTTGAGCGGCATGAAAAGTGCTATATAAATAAAAATTATTATTATTATTATTATTATTACCTGAAAACATGGCACCCTGCTTCCTAGGCAGAATACAAACAAAGAAAAGAAAATGTCTCAGCTAGCATGCTAACGCCATCTGTAGCCACAAATTTGAAATGATAAAAAAATTGACAATTTATAAAATTTATTTCATGTAGAGTTTTTATTGACTGTGAGTTTTTTGGGTTTCAGTTTTGGTTTTTGGCCGTTTGTGATGTTAGTAAACCTACTTCTAAATGTGCTGCTGCAACAATAGTGCTGTTAAATGACACAAATCTATCTAGAATAATAAAAAGCGTTCTCATAAAGAAATGCATGCACTGGATATTCAGTTGTGATTATTCATGTTTGTCTTATTGCTCACATTTGAACCAAAAGAAAGATTTTCCTTTAAAAAGCAGTGAATTGAATTATAGGAAAGTCACCAGGTAGACCACCAGAACTGCCCCCATCAGATAAACAGCACTGAAAGCTTTCATCTTTGAGAGAGAGGAGAAAATCAAGCTGCTTCAGATCTGAAAACATCCACAGGTGTCTCTGTCCATCCTTCCACTGTGAGAACACGACTCAACGCTGTGGGTCTGAAAGGATGTGTAGCTGTCAAGAAGAACCTCACTGAGAAAAGGAGACGGACACATCAAACAAAGAAGCTGAACGATGAACTGACCACCCCAGAGTCCAGACCTCAACATCACTGAATGTGTTTGATTACTTCAGAAAATGATCAACCAGCTTCTAAGACTGAACTTTGGAGGTGTGTCTGCAGATTCTTTGAGGAACTGAAAGTCTCCTGAAAAGAGTGGAAGCTGGAATGAAGGTAAAGAGTGACACACTGGACACTGGAAAAAATATGTAATATTTATTTGTTAAGGCTTCTGTGTAATTTTCTGTTAAATATATGTTCTGAAAATGCGCACTCTGTAATCTCTGACTACATGGTGGCAATATAATGGACACTTTAAAAGCAAAAGGAGTAATCAAGCCTGCACCCTGACCCTAACCCAAAATCAATACAGTACATCTGTGAACAGCATGATAGAGTGAGTACATAATGAATAAATAAGTAAATCAAAATACAGCCGCAGAACTTTGGCATTATTTTGGATTCGCTGGAGACTTCAGCTTAATGTGAGAATCTTAAATCCCTCAGAAATTGATTTCCCCTGTGATAGCCCCAGCGCCTCAGTTCAAATAGGCTGAAGCTACTCTGTGTGCTCATAACTCAGAAATGAGAATGACCTCAGCACACTTCACTCTAGGGCCCCAATCTACGTATTTCTCTTCCTCACATTTTCCTCTTTTCTCTTCAAATAAAACAGGTCACTGATTTCGCCGCTACAGTTTTGGTGAGCTGGTGAAAAGTGGAAACTGAGGCTCGGGAAGTGGAGACAACTACATAGATCAGAAAAGCAAGAATATAGAAAAAGAACTCAAAAATATATGAATATTGAGGGTCAGACAGGGGTGATGCCACAACTCCAAAAGTGGTGGGGTAAAACTTACTGACTGGCTGACAAAAACAAGCCTTTTTCATTACCTGCGTTTTTCATTTGCTTCGGTTGGCTTCACGCTACAACGGCTAAAATGGACTAAATTGCACATGCAGGTGTTTGTTTATTGATCAGAAATTTTGCAGGAAAACAAGCAATCATGTCAGGGGTCGGCAACATGTGGCTCCGGAGCGACTTGCGATACTTTTACTGCCCTGTTGTGGCTCCACAGCAGAATCAGATTTGTAGGTAATAATAAAATAATCCTCCTTTACAGTAAAATAAAGCTCTGCTGATCGTTCAACACAGTTTAACAATAAATGGTCTTAAACTCTGGAGTTAACGTAGAACTGCTAATTCACCCTTTAACCCTGAAGATAAGAACAGACTGCTGGTCACCATAGCAACACAGACAATCTTGCCTAGCTAGTAGCAAACGAAACGGCAAAGAGAGAGATTTAAGATGAACATCGATAATTCGGAGACGAATGGACTTATTTGCATTTATAATCACTCCAGCTGGTTTCCTGATACATTTAATCTGCAACGAGAAACTGACAAACACTAACAAATCATGAGGCTGAAGTCGCTTCTTATTCGCCAGCTTCTTGTTCAAATTTTCTCGTTCCACCTTAAATGGTGCAGCAGTTACAATGGTGGCACCTCAGGCACCATTTAAGGTGGAACGAGAAAATTTGAACGAGAAGCTGGCGAATGAGAAGCGACTTCAGCCTCATAAAAAGTCAACGTTTTACAAGAACCAAACCTGGCAGATGTGCAAGCGAATGAGTTTGACTATCTGTCTGTTTGCGATTGTATGTTATCAGTTTAGGCAGAGTTGCGATGGAAGTGGTGGGTGGTCGTCCTAGTACTTTGAAAAGTGGTGTGTCGAATGCCCACTCACCCCGTAGTTCCAGTGGCCAGATTTACCAAAAACTGTCTAAAGAAATAAGATCTTCTTTAATGTGCTTTGTGTTCATAAACACTCATTAAATGTTATTCTTCAAGGTTATTCTTGCCCTTTCTCTAAGAACAAGTGATTTTTCTCTTACATATTTTTTTAAAGCTAATTAAAGCTTTAATAGTCTCACACTCAGTCTGAGACTGAATGAGTTCACAAGGTAAATGCTCCAAAACTGTGAGTTGACCATTTATCTACCATGGCTTACGATGTGCCTGGCATCATCCACTTGGAAGCTGCTGAAGGCTGGAAATTTAATAGGGATTTTAAAACAGAATTCCACAAATTACTGCATGATTGTGTCATCATTCAGAGTGGTTTGGTGTGAAACGCTCTGTTCTAGAGAAACTTACAGAGTCAGAACTGTTCACAGTGGTGGTGATAGGAACCAGACGTCCACCTCTAAAAGCTCCCTCACAGAAAGGTATTACATTAAGTGGTTATAAAAACATTGCCTGATGTCTGAGACACTGTTTTTCATCTATTCATGGTGGAGGGGTACATGCATATATAAATGTAGGTTCACTGGTGGTTTTGGATAATAAACAAAATGGCTATATTTGTGTGGTAGCCATAGTGACCCCTGGTTCCTATCACCACCACTGTAAAGAAGTCTGAGTCTCTACAATCAACCATTTCACACTAAACCACTCTAAATGACTTTGCATCTCAGTGACTAAATTATGCAGACATTTGAAAAAATCAGCGGAATTCCCTGTTAAGCACTGATGGCCGTAGGGCCGCAGTGGTGACCGCACACTAATTAACGCCTATAAAATGTCCGAAAAGTCATGGGCATGTGAAAGCTGAGTTGCTGTGATTGCTCTGCACTACTATCGTCTCTGGTATGATATGAGCAGATGATTAATCTACATAAAATTGACTAAATTAACCACTGTCTTTACAAATCTGCTGAATTCATTTGCTCAGAGGGAACTGAGATTGAACTGAGATTAAATAGTATAACAGGATGTAAAATGAATATTGCCGTGTTACATAATAAACAACCTCAGAGCTTGCATAAAAAAATAATTAAGACCTAAGAGAATACATGAGAACTTGTTTTTTTTCAAGAATTGATTATAGGAACATTCTTTTGAACTACACAGTGTTTTCGTTTTTTTCTTTTTTGAATCCAGCCCCAGTTTAGCCGTGCAAAAGACCACCCACCATCTCAGCTCGTCAGAAGAATTTTAATCACACCCCACCTGTCTTTGCCCGTCTCTCTCTTGAAGAGGTCATCGAACTGCAGCATCTTCTGCCAGGAGATGATGTAGACCTTGAGCTTGGGCAGCACCTGGTTCATGAGGCGCAGGTTGTTGTAGACTAATCCCTTGCCGTCTCGCCTCATGTAGCTGCTGGGGCCCCAGAAAATGAAGACGGTGTCCTGGCTGGAGTTCAGCAGCTCGTGGCGGCTGCGAAGGACCCGCTGCATGCTGGAGTGCGCGATGACCCTCAGGCTGGTGCGGCGGCCCACGTCCTGTGCGAAGCCACGGCCGGTGGGCGCGTCGTTCATGCGGATGACGCACTCTGCCTGGTCGATCTCCTGGCCCCGCCCTCCGCCCGTCAGGTGACCGGAGCTGGTGACCAGCGCACAGCTTCCACAGTGCATCTTCAGGGGCTGTGGGGAAAAGAGCCACAGGTCAGAGAGTGGCCAGCTTCAAATTTAAATAAGAATATTTTTAACAATTATTATATGATGTTAACTACAAATTCATTTAAGCTAGACCCAGAGGGCCCATGAGCAGAGGTAGTGCTAATCTAGCTAGCTAATTACACTCGATGGTAGTTAGTGAGGGTGTCTGTTATCTAGTTTAATGGAATTGGCAGTTAGTGTTCTCCTTCAAGCGTGTTGAGCTGTCCAATAATGTTACTATAGTGGCAGCTCACATTCAGCCACCTTGCTTGGTAGTACTGTGTGATAAGGGGAGACCTGACTAGCAACTGGAACTGAGAGAGAAAAATTAGTAGAACTCCAATAAAATGGCACAGATGAAATACAGGTATTACATTTGCAAATGCCCATTAAAGTTGCATGATATGGGGACAAAATGTGATGCTCAATAAAGCTGTTTTACGTCATGATGATGGTATAAGAAGCTTTCTCTATGTTGCAAATCAAAAACCTCACCTTAGATAACCCCTGTGCACAACAAGGTACCTGTCTCTCTGAGACAACTGCCTTTATTAGAATAAGAGCCACAAGTGAGGTAGCTACAGCTGTTCCAGTTTCTCAAACAATACTATGGCAGCACACATCACAGGCAGAACATCTTGTAAGGGAGGAAAATAAATGTACCCAAATAGCAGACAAGAATTCAAGGGCTCAGTTGGTCTGTCATTACCTTCTTACCTTGAATTGTAGGTAGTTTCAATTTTAGGCCCGTGAGTGGGTTTTTAGCAGCGACCAGCCAGCAATAACGACACTATAATATCCCGGACAAAAGGTACATTTATCACGCTTTTTGTTAGTAAACTCAGACGTTCCTTGAGCGGCCGAGACCCAGTTTCGTAAATCCTTGACACCGGGGGATTTAACAAGAGACTCTGCCCTTTCTCCACACCTCCTCATTCATACCAAGCACTATTTCACCATCCATTCTTTATGCCTCTCCATGAATTATTCCAAGCCCACGTAAAAAGTACAATTGGTATTCAGGTGATGATAAGGGCACTTCCCTTTCACCCTGCCTCGTAATACAGATAAAGAAGGAAGGGGGTGTTTTTCTGGGATAAAGGCCTGTATCCGCTGCTCAAGGAAGTCTTGCATTTATTGCAAATTTTCCCTTCCCAATCCCGCCGTTCCGCTGCTTAAATCAATGATATGCAAAGAGCCCATACAAAGCTGTGTAATTTGTCCTGGATGGCGGCATCTGCTCTGAGAGAAATAATAATAACAAATGGCGCTGGTGCACTCAGCGGCCCGCGGGCGCCACCGCGGCATTTGCATGCGTTCCTGGTTTTGGCATCCGCGCCTCTGTTTCTCTTGTTAATGGAATCCGTCGGCCCCCCTCCGGGTCACCGGAGGCCCGGGCGCTGCTCCACTGACATAATGTTTAATGAAGCCACGAGTTAATGAGGTCCTGGTGGCCCCATGTGAGCTTCCCATGTCTCTTCAAGCACTCCCTTCAACATTCCAGCCAGCCGTGACAAAAAATAGCAAGGCTTCCGCCGAGAAATCCAGGGACAGATGCGCGGCTGAGCTCTGGAGAGCCGTTCTGTTCAGGTGTTGAGAGTAACAGAGCCTCCTGAATGAGGACACCAATCAACGAGCCAGTCAGTCATCACCTTCCATATATATGTGCTGGGCAGGGAGGGAGCAGCCTGAGGATATGCTTTAACAACATGAGCACATTTCCAGAGGCTCAACCAACCTGCAAGAACCAAATCAGTCATATCTGTGCTCTGCACGAGGGTGGAGGACAAAGATGGAGTAGACGTTTTTTTTTTTTTTTTACCCCCTCTCCCAGCGGAATCGGAGCCATTGGCGGCGGCAGGGCTTGTCCTTCACGCGCTGAGGAACATGTTGCGGAGAGGGGCAGAGATGCTGGCAGCAGGCTTGAGAAAACATCATCTCTGGCCTAACAAACAGATTAACCTTGGGGAAAGGGCATGAGCGCAGCAGGGGCTAGCAGTGGGGTGGGCATGGTGGGTTCTTCCACTGCGGTTGGAGGGTAACCTTATCAAATAACATATCAGCCCAACTCCGCTTAGGGGCCGACCCGAATTGAGACGAGTACGTGGCCTGTACAAGGTCTAGCATTCCATTTTGTAACTCGTACCTGGTCACGTCTGTGGTCAAAGGTGAGGGACCAATGCAGCATCAGTGCCAAACCATTAAAGCAACAGTTAGTTAGACGTTTGTCTGCAAAGCAAAATCCCTTGAATTAACGCCTACAGTGTTCATTTTACACCAACGTTCAAAATTATGGAATTACTGTATATAGAACATTTTTTGCAGCTCATGTATGAAGTGATTCTATTATGGTGCTCATGCTCTACAACTTTATCGATTTCAATTAATTAGTAGGAAGCTGTAAAACAATTAAGAAATGTCATGTGTCCACAATGATGAGATGATTCTGAAATTACTGAGGAAGCTGTAGAACACTGAGAATGAATTTCTACTGAATGCTACATTTCGAGTGCTCGTATTTGGAAAGTGGTGATCAAATCTCAGGCAAATAACTTTCAGAAATTTCTGTAAACACATAATTATGGTTGCACATTGCAAAGCAACCTTATTATATTATTATTCTTCTCTTTTACTCGTTTTTCTGCCGGATTTTGCCGCATAACTCGTCCTGCAGTTTTCAAGATATCAACACCATTCCAGACTACCCGGTCTGAATGTGTGATTCAGGCTTATATACAGCTTTTTGATCGGATGCACAGTTTTTGTGCAGCAATGGAATTTTGTGGATTTTTTTCACATAGGAAAGAATGGAGTGCAAAAGTTCTGGTTCTTTCTTGTGCCACGATGATACAAATATACTAACACCCACACTCAATACACCACACACTCCACAAATACACTCAACACACCACACACACACACCACACACTCCACACATAACACACCAAACACACCACACAAATACACTCACCACACACACACACACCACACACTCCACACATAACACACCAAACACAAACACTTTTAAGGTAGCAGTGTATTTAAGGTGGCACTGGATTTAAGGTGGCAGGAGATTTAAGGTGGTAGTGGAGTTAAGGTGGAATTGGATTTAAGGTAGCAGGAAATTTAAGGTGGCAATTGGTGGTTGCTATGGCCTTAGCAACCACATAGCAACCACATCTGATATCAGAGCAAGCACCGTAGATAAAGAAATAAGTAAAATGTTAGCATGGTTTCTCACCTGGTTTTTAGGAAACCAAACAGACTAAACTAAGCTAGCCAAATCATGCCACTAAAATAATATAAAAGTCAAAGTCATCAGATGAAAAGATGCATTAAATGTTAACACTTCCAGGACTTCAGCAAATGGGAAAGTGCAGCTCAGCTGTATGTTAAAGCATAGTAGAATGAAACTTTTAAATTATGAAATACACACTTGTGATTGCTTTATTTCACAACTATTCAATAACAAAAGTGAAGAAGAAAACGCACAACATTCCCACACTCCATTGTATTTCCTTCAACGTCTTGCTCGCAAAAATTCCGTTGGCAAAATGGAATCTCTTTTTGTTCTGCAACAACAAATGCTTATCATCACAGAAAAGCAATCACAGATGTTTTCCATTCCATCATGGTTTACTTTAAAGACTGCTGCTCTGTGGTTCGGTGCTTTTCAATTTACATCTTACAAAAACACAAAAGCAGCTTTGGTAAGACATCAACATAAAACAATTCAAACGAAAAGTGTTAACACTGAAAATGTCACTTTACAGAGCAGTGTCTTCTTAAACAATGCAGTGATGCACATTCCTTTTTTCGTCTTTCAGATTCCAGTTAGAGAACCAAGGACAGAAATTGTTTATGTGCTGGCGTTTATTGCAGGGATGGTTGTCATGGTTAGACCTACAAACCACAGCAAATGCTGCCAACAATATTCAAAACTTCTTTCTTTTTCAGCCTGTCTCCTGTCCATCAGTAGTCATGGGGTTCATGCACTCGTTGGACACAGCAAATTTAAGTTCACTGTGCCCGTTGGATGGGTTTACAAGCTGATTCGTCCTTCCTCGTCTTGCTCAACAGTTAAAATCATATCTGCTTTGCCCAATAAAGCACAATAAAGGAGAAATAAGAAACAAAGGCAGACACCTCTGTGACACTTTTGCCTTTAAACCAGTTCTTTCTACTGGCAATAAACTTCATGCACACGCCTGCTACTGAGGTGCTGCGTTGCCTGCAGCGTTGCTGGTGTAAAGGGCTACTCTGGTTTAAAGTTATGTAGAATTTTCTATATTTCTGCGTAAATTTTACCTAAAACTTCAAGAGTTTTTCACCGAAGTCCTAATAGTACATAAAGAGATGCAGCAATAACTGCAACTAAAAGTGCTGCACATCAGCTTGGTGGAATTTTAACCCATTCCTCCGTACAAAACAGCTTCAACTCTGTTATGTTGGTGGGTTTCCTCCCATAAACTGCTGCTTCAGGTCCTTCCACATTTCTATAGGATTAAGGTCAGGGCTTTGACTTGGTCATTCTAAAACATTAGCTTTATACTTCATTAACCATTCTTCGGTAGAACGACTTGTGTGCTTAGGGTCATTGTCTTGCTGCATGACCCACGTTCTCTTGAGTTCCAGCTCACAAACAGATGTCCTTACATTTTCCGTCAGAATTTGCTGGTATAATTCAGAGTTCATGTTCCATCAATGATGGTAAGGCCACATTCAGCAAAACAGGCCCAAACCATGATACTACTACCACCGTGTTTCACAGATGGGATAAGGTTTTAATGCTGGAATGCAGTGTTTTCCTTCTCCAAAGATAACACTTCTCATTTAAACCAAAAAGATCTATTTTGGTCTAAAAGGTTCCTTTGTAAACTCAGGGGCCAATTACACGCCTTGCTCTTGGTGTAGTCTTTGTTGGTCGACCACTCCTGGGGAACGTAACAGTGGTCTTGAATTGACTATGGATTGGTGGAGTCTAA